TAAGGGGTTTGGGGGGTTTTGGGCTTGGGGGTTTATGGCCAGTTTGTAGGGTTTAGGGTTTAGGGATCTACCGGTTTAGGGTTTAAGGGGTTTGGGGGGTTTTGGGCTTAGGGATCTACCGGTTTAGGTTGTTAGGGGGTTTGGGGTTTAGGTATAGGGTTTATGGCCAGTTTATAGGGTTTAGGGTTTAGGGATCTACGGGTTTAGGGTTTAAGGGGTTTGGGGGGTTTTGGGCTTCGGGGATTAAGGGATTAGGTTGTTAGGGGGTTTGGGGTTTAGGTATGGGGTTTATGGCCAGTTTATAGGGTTTAGGGTTTAGGGATCTACGGGTTTAGGTTGTTAGGGGTTTGGGTTTTAGGGATCTACGGGTTTAGGTTATTAGGGGTTTGGGGTTTTGGGGCTTACGGGTTTAGGTTGTTAGGGGTTGGGGTTGAGGGTTTAAGGAAGTTTGGGGTTTAGGGGTTTAGGGTTTAGGGCCAGTTTTGGGTTTAGGGTTTTAGGGTCTTGGGTTTAGGGCTTCGGGTTCGAGTGAGCAGGATTTTTGGAAAATATCGTGGTGCATGCATATGTGTACGTGTGTGTGTGTGTGCACATTATGTATGTATAAATACATAATACGCACACCCAGACACAGGTATATGTATGTATGTACGTATGTGTGCATACCAATAACATACATACATACATACATACATACATACATACATACATACATACAACGTACACAAATACATGCGTACACAGTAGGATGTATGTCAGCCTTCCCCATCAAGGGTTTAGCTTATCATTTAGGGGTTTGGGAGATCTGGGGCTGATGCAGTTTTGGATGTAGTTGTGTGCGCACAGAACTTCGGAAGACAAGGGTTTGTATGGCCTAAAGTCTTGAGGCTTCTTGGGGATTCGGGGATTTAGGGTCTAGGATATAGAGCTCCTGGGGACTTAGCCGTTTTTGGTGTAGGACTGTAGGGCGGCTTTGGATGTTTGACAGCTTTGGCAGGGGATTCATGTTAAAAGCTTCGTTTCGTGCCGGCATTGTTTATGGTTTCGCTGGCGTTGGTGTATGGGGTGTCACGGTTAAGAGTTTATGGTCCGGGTTTAAGCCCGGAAGCCCTCGAACCAAAGACCCTTCTGGTTTAGAAGCCTGACAATGTCTTGGCGGTTGCTATGATATAAACATTGTTCAACCCATTAGGGGCTTGAATACCGCTCCCCCATTATAATGGGCTCCAAAACACAAACTCATCAAAGCTCAATGTTCACCGGAACCTTATAGACGCTCACATTACGAGCAATACCGCACTGAGTGCTCACTCTATGCTCACCAAAAATACCTCGAATATACACACACCTTCATATAATACAGCCCCGAACCCCAAAGCCCAGGGGGTTAGGGTCCCGTATTGGGCTCTCCTATTTTCTGAAACCTCCAGGAAAAGCACGCCTGGCCCAGCTTGATGAAGAAAGGCCCCAAGGTCGTCACCTGCGTGGACTCGGACAGGAGACCCACCGGCCCTTGAAATGCGGCCCAACTAGCTACCTTAAGCTGCCAAAGCCGACCGTTTCTGGCGTCTCATCCTAAACTCTGTCTATAATAGACAGCAACAAGTCTGCCAGGATGCTGCAAGTAAGTAGGTAGTGGCAGCTGCAGGCAACCGTAGGGCGCAGGCTTGGGGTTCGAGAACTGTAGGTGGTGGGGTTCCGGGAATGCACGTATGCTTCGGCGTAGCTGAGGACTTGCATTAGGCTCAGTCGTTGAGATTTAGGGAATTACGGGTTGCCCGCGAAACCATCCACTAAGGAACCAAGTGTACTGTGGTATTTTCCTAAATGACACGATATATCACAATAGCCCTTCTTTACGGAAGCCTTGAGGGAGCCCTTTAAGGAACACTCGACCCTCCGTTCAGTCTGAGGCACAATCTCATTGAACCTGGCCGCCTGCTCCACCTGGACATCCTCGGGCTCGGACGGGTCGGAGACTTCGGGGGAAGAGATTCCAAGGTTTGGGGGGGGGGGGGGGGGNNTAGGGCTTGGGGCTTAGGGTTTGGGGGTTTAGGGTTTTGGGGGTCGAGGGTTTTGGGATTGAGGGTTTTGGGGTTTAAGGCTTTGGAGTTTAGGGGTTGGTTTTCGGGTTCAGGGTTCTAGGGTTTAGGGCTTTAGGGTTTTGGTGGTTTGGGGGTTACTTCTTTGGATGACTGCTGGGACGAACGAAGTATGTAGTCTTAGAGTGTGGGGATACGTCTGAGGCATCTCGATCCATCTACCCAGCACCCCAAGCCCGAGAGCATGAAACCAAGCCGAAGGATGGAGGAACCGGGTTTAGGGTTGGTTTTCAGATGTGTCGTCAAGGTCTGACTGCGCGGCAAGGCCACAGAGCAAGACACAAGAATGAGCCGCACAGAGCTAGGCAGAAATCACCCTATGGTTTCGAGCTCGGGTTGCAGTGAAATTATCAGGTTCATGGTCTACAACGTGCACAGCTTTCTTCTCAGCCCTAGAACTTCCAAGAGAAGGAACATTGGTAATCAGGTTAATCCCGCATTTCCTACCGGTACTACCTGGCTCTCAAAGCACGAACTTAATGTAGGGGCCTTACTAATTAGAACAAAAGTTTTGGAGTATGTTATACTATAAGTATAACAGGGAGCCCCCATATTTCTCCCCTAAACCCTAAACCCTAAATAGTATTGGTAATTACTTAGGCCCCCATATTTCTCCCCAAACCCCCACAGACCTCACTCTCCAAAGCCACTGGTTCTGAACAATCCTCAGCTTAGGGGAATGCGATTTAGGATTGCTTAGGGTTTAGGGTTTAGGGTTTAGGGTTTAGGGTTTAGGGAGTCCCAAACCCTAAGCCCAAATCCTAGCTAAGCCGAAACCTCAACCCCTCAAGCCTGAAACGCCCAGAATCTAAAGCCCAAAACCCTGAAACCCGAAACCCCTAAACCCTAAACTCCTGACCCCTACACCCCTAAACCCTCAAACTTTGCAGCCCAATCCCCTGAGCCGCAGAGTGTCGGTTCCCGAACGTCCCAGGAGCTTGTTCCAGACCTGAGCCAGGATGTATGTGTGTGTGTGTGCGGGTGTGTGTGCGGGTGTGTGTGTGTGTGTGTGTGTGTGTGTGTGGGGTTTGGGTTTAGGGTTTTGGGTTTACGGCTGAGAATGCTAATGGAACTTCGGGCTTAGGGTCCATGCCCATGCTCCATGATATACTTCCGAGAGTGTCGGTGGAGCCCAAACCCTAAACCCTAAGCCCTATAAACCCTAAACCCTCGGCCCTAAGCCTTAAGTTTTATAAGCCCCAAACCGACCCTCGTCTCAGATCCGGGCGATCATGCCGATCAGGGGAGCGCCGGTACCTGAGCTTCCGTGACTCAGCAGAGCGCTCTAAACCCTCAACAGCACCCCAACATGCCCCAGACTCTCATATCTCACCCCAAACTTAGACTAAAACCCTCAACTTCGGGCTTTCCACGCACCGAAGCCCGAAATCCTCCGCGGTGCCGTGCCAGGGTGCTCACAATCTGCAGCATCCGCTGCAGCTGCACCCCTGGCAGTCGGTCGAAGTACTCCTTCAGGATTTCTGGGTCGTAGGTCAGCGGCAGGCCAGTGTCCTGCTCAACAAGCTCGTGAACATGAAGAGTTGTTGTTTTACCTGGACCCTAGTTTGTAGTTAGACGTCTACTTAATGACAGGTCGATGAGGAGGCACAGGAGCGTGCGAGTTCTGCCACGCACAAAAGCTTTTGGAAGATAAATCGTCAGCCCATGTGACATTCATGCTGGCCTTACCCTCAATGTTCAGCAAGTCACAGCCCGGGAACCGAAATGCATCCCAGAATCTCGCTGAAACCCAACCCCTCAAACCCTAACCCTAAACCCTAAACCCTAAACCCTAAACCCTAAACCCTAAACCCTAAACCCTAAACCCTAAACCCTAAACCCTAAACCCGAACCCGGCGCCCACCAACTCCCACCTCGTCCGTGGGGACGTCGACCAGGCGCATTTCCAGACCTTCGATCTGACGGTCGTTGTCATTGAGGCCTCCAGGGGGCGGGGCGGTGGTGAAGAGCTTGGGCTTGTAGGAGTCTTTTAGGGTTTAGGGTTTAGGGCTTAGGGTTTAGGGTTTAGGGTTTAGGGTTTAGGATTTAGGGTGTAGGTTTTTAGGGGCTTAGGTTTGAAGGATTTTCGGGCTTATGTGGTGCATGGTTAAAGGTTCAGGCTCTGGGGCTTAAGCTTGCAAGTGCTGAGCCCGAAGTAAAACTCAAAACCCCCAACCATGCGTCAAAGCCATAAACCCGATATCCTAACCCGAAGGGTCCAAGTACCTCAATAATCTTATAACTAGTAACCTACGTAACTACTATCCTAAACCCAAATACCTACTTATTGGATCCGTTATGGACCCTTGGGGTAATCTTTTAACCCTAAACCCTAAACATTACGTCCTAGACCTTGCCTTCACACCTTTCAACTTGAAAACCACCATGAACCTTATCCAAGACTTCTGCCGGTCGCATTTCAGAGCTGAGTATGTTGGGCCTGGTGTATCCCTGAAGGAGGTTCTTGGGTTTCGGATTGACTCCCCCAGTCCTACATCCTAAACCCAAAGCCCCCAAGCCTAAACCCTAAATCCTATAATCCTATAGCCTAGCTTAGGGCCCGGTCCTGAACAACCCGCTCATGGCCAAGAAATCTGCCGAAGAACCCGTTAAGCCCCCCTTATAGACTTGTTCGTAGGAACTCTCAGAATTCAAAGAACACCCCAAAAACCTTTTTGACTTGTTAAAAGGAACTCTCAGACTTCGAAGAACACCCAAACAACCTTTCTAGACCTGTCAAGAGGAGCTCTCAGCGTTTAAAAGAACACCCGAACAAAAACAGAGGTTTGACTTGTTGAAAGGAACTCTCAGAGTTTACAGAACACCCAAGCAAAAAGAGAGGCACATCACCCTAAACCCTAAACCGAAAACCCTAAACCCTCAACTCTCAGCCCCAAGCCCTAAGCCTTAAACCCATAACTCTACGCCCCCAAAGTCCCAAGCCCTACACCCATAACTCTACATCCCCAAAGCCCTAAACCCTAAACCCTAAACCCATAACTCTACACCCTCCAAAGCCCTAAACCCTATAAGCCCTAAACCCTAAACCCCAAAGCCCTAAACCGTAAAACCCTAAACCCTAAACCCTAAACCTCCTAAACCCTAAACCTTAAACCCTAAACCCTAAACCCTAAACCTCCTTAAGCCCTAAACCCTATAAGCCCTATAAACCCTAAACCTCAAGGAAGATCTGGCCTGATCCTCGCAGACCCTGCATCATCAACTTCAGCTCCTGCCGGGACGGGCTCGAAGACGGCTTGGGGTTTTGAGTTGAGGGTTTCGGGTTTAGGCTTAAGCGTAGAGTTGAGGGGTTAGGGTTTAGGGCTTAGGCTTGGGGTTTTGAGTTTAGGGTTTAGGGTTTGGGGCTTAGGCGTAGAGTTTAGGGTTTAGGGTTTAGGGCTTAGGTTTAGAGTTTAGGGTTTAGGGTTTAAGGGCTTAGGCGTAGAGTTTAGGGTTTAGTGTTTAGGGCTTAGGTTTAGAGTTTAGGGTTTAGGGTTTAGGGCCTAGTGCTTAGGGTGCCGGGTTACGGGTTTTGGGCTTTGGTTTAGAGTTTAGGGTTTAAGGCCGCGGGTTTAGGGTGCAGGGTTATGGGTTTTGGGCTTAGGGTTTCTAGTTCAGGTTTTTGGGTTTTGGGCTTGGAGTTTAGTCCAGGAAGCTGAGATCGGAGGGCTGAGATATTTGAGGGTCTTGGTGCTGAAAAGCTTGGGGCTCGCGGCGTTCAACGCTTGAAGGTGTTGAGGGTTTATGGGTTTAGGCCTGACGCCATGATAGAAGCCACTTGCTATACATATATGCCGGGAACTGAAGGAAGAGTATTCCTAATTACCGAAGTATTCCGAATCCAGTAAACCAAAACTTTGAAAGAAAATATAACCCGATAAAATGCAATAAAGCCCGAACTGCTACATCCTAAACCCAAAGGCTCTGACTCTCTTCTCTTGGTGTTACGAGGTAAGTGCTCCCCCTAAACCCTAAACCCTAAACCCTAAACCCTAAACCTCCTAAACCCTAAACCCTAAACCCTAAACCCTAAACCGTCTCCTCATTGTTCTCCATGGAGGCCTCGAGCTCCTTTCGCTGCTGCCGCATCTGGTTCGACAGCCCCGAGATGGTGCTGCCTGCAAAGTGCTGCCTTAACCTCAAATAGCCCCTAAAAAGATAGGTCCTCAGGTTATTCGGGGTCCAACTAGTGTGCTACTGGGTTACGTAGTATGTGCTTAGCAACTTATGTTCTGGGTAGTTGGAGATCTAGCAAAGTTTAGGGTTTAAGGGCTCCTGTAAGGAGTCCTGCAATGAGGCTCCTTTGCGAGAGTTCTACAAAGTTTCTAGAAGGGCATCGGGTTTTAAAAATCATATAAAGTGTTGTGTAGGGTTCATCGGCCTTTAATGGGTTGTGTAAGATTGAAGATGTTTTGTGGGTGGTTACGACTCGCTTTAGGGTTTCGAGCCCTTTCTGGCTTGGGTGGGGCTCGGGGTCTCGGTTTTCAGGCCGGCGAAGGCGAAGGTTTGGAGGTTTAGGTATTTACGGTTTTTAATCCTTAGGGCTTGCCGACATGCCGAAGGTTATGTAGCCAAAGACACACCGAGCTGAGTCAGCCTGAAACACCCGAACCCGCACAACAAATCCAGATCCTGTCCAAGCCGACGAACCGTAAACGAACCAGCACTAGTAGTAGTAGCAGTAGTAGTAGTAGCAGTAGTAGTAGTAGTAGTAGTAGTAGTAGCCGCCAAAACATTGGGGCAGAATAAGTAGTAATGCTACTCCTTAAAGGGACCCTTCGCGCACTCATGTTCCATTATTAGTTTAAAGACCCAAGTCCTCCTCTACTTTATTCAAGGTTTGACAATACACCCTCAACCCTCTAAAACCCGACCTTCTCATACCCCCCATAATAAGACACCGGAAGGAAGCCTAAACCTCAAAACCCTAAATCTTAAACTCTCCAAAACCCGACCTCCCGCTTGCGCCCTGCGCTTCGTGCGGCCCCGAACGACGGCCACCGTCGCTGCGGCAGCGAAGATCGCCGGGGCGAAGCCTCGTCTCCGGTGGCTCGGTCACGGGTTTGAGGGTTTAAGCATCGGTTTAGGGTTTCGGTGGAAGGGTTTAGGGTGTACAGTGGTTCAGAGCTTAGGGGTTTCGGGCCTGGCGGCCGGCTTCAGAAAGGGCACTGCAAGGTTCAGGGTTTAGGGCTCAAAGTTCAAGATTTAGGGTTTAGGGTTCAAGGTCTAGGGTAGGCTTGTAGAAGGGCGTTTACAGTTTACAGAGGTTAGTGCGTCTCAAAAGAAGAGGACTGTTTGGTGCCTCTCTTATTTTCGTAGGGGGCGCTTTGAGGGTTCGAGTTTGAGTTCCCTGCATGCGGTCAGGACAGGCGAGCTTATCTACGGGGTGTCGAAGTGATCTAGAAGTTGTATATCAGGATCGAGTGTTGGGCCTACGGTTTGATGTAGGTAACCTTCTATTTCCATCATTTGCTTTTTCTATTTATGAAAGCCCCAAAACCAGGGTTCTGATAGGGTGCAGGGCTGCAGTTGCTGGTGGGGAGTTGGAGCACCCGGCGTTTACCTACAGTTGTCCATGCAGTTATGTTTGTGGTTGCCTTGGTTCTTGTTGCATCCTGTCCATAAAGAAGTCATATTGGAAGACCAGTGGGTGGCTATGCATAAGTCCAGATAAATAGAGTGCAAACTACTTTGAGCTGCGATGCTAAGATTGTCTTTTTGGTCGGGTCCGACTAAACACCCTGGGCCGTCATCGACGAGAGCACTTCAGACATGCCGAAATGCAGCGACAGAGTTCGACCCTCGACAGGGCTCCAGTTTTAGAAGCTACATGCAGTCCCCTATGAAACCAGACAAACCCGAGTCATCCAAACTTCTCGAAGACGTTAAGCAAGCACCAAACCCAATTCCAGATCTGCAACCTGCATTTGAAGACGCAGCTGGTGCCGCTGACTTCTGATGGAAGCCACCAGTGGAAGCCTCGCAGCGATGCTTGCGAACCCGTTTCGATCGCGTTCGAAAAGTAATGGTATCTTACTTAGTGGTCCTTGTCATGGGGATCCTACTAATTATTTGGGGTCTACACTAACAGAAAGTGCTTTTAGGATCAGTTCAGGGTTTGCCACATATACGTTCTGTGCCAGCATCAGGTTGTAGATGAAGAGTCCCCAACAACCCTTCACTCGGATCTTGGGATACGGCAGAGTACACACCTAAACAGATCCATCACATGGCGGGAACCATGCTGAATTTCTTTTTCCCAACCTTCAGCACCCAGGTCATTGCATCATAGACCACCAGCCCCAGAACCACGAAGGTTTTGTACCAAATCAGACGTCAAGTAGGTGCCCCCAAATCCTATGCCCACAAGTCAACACTCAATCCTCAACTTTCAACATTAGACTTAGAAGCACCCCGTGCTCTGAGCTGCACCCGGTAAACCCTGAATTGCGTTTCCTTCTAGGATTGACGGTCTTGCCCCTTTTCGAACCAAACTCTCCTCGATTTTCAACAGTCCCAGATTGGATGGATGCCTGGGATCGTTCACCCCACCATGGAACAGCCAAATGCTAGCATCCCCAATGGCTCCTTTTTTGGTATTGGGTAGTTCTGTCAGGAATCTAAGATCGCAACTGAATAAGATTTAGGCTTTGGGGTTTAGGTTTAAGGACCCTAAACTAAACCCTAAACCGTGACTTAGGCTTTAGCGATGTCTAGGGTCTCAGGACTCATCCTCATTCCTGCCTTTTGCTGAGCGAGCGGCCCTTTGCCAAGAGACTCCAGCACCCCTTAATTGGGGAATATACTGTATACCTTGAGGTCTTATTAGGGTAACCCTAAAACCTAAACCTTAAATCCTAAACTCTAGCATTGTCTACGGTCCGTTCCTTATTTGACGGGTTTG